ACTGCAATATGCCGTTTCTATTTCAAGACATAGACAGAAATAAAGAGAAATTTCTTCTGTATGATTTAAGCCATGTTTGTACAGTAAGAGTCAACAGGTCAAAAACTTTTGACTCTCAAGAGCCACAAGTTATGAGAGGAGGTGAAATCAACAATCGCTGTCAAATTTACTAAGGCTGTAAGGTAATATCTTTATAAATTTGGGCTAAACTGGTCAATATTTCTATAGAAATCTGGTCAAATTTACGTCTATTGGCCTAGCTGTTCAATCATTTTTATTTAAATGCAGAATCACCATGCAGCATGGTCCCAATGAAAGAATACCCAACCCACAAACAGACAGCAAGCAAATTAACTAATACAATTTACAAAGAGGAAACCATACTACTTAGCCGTCCTAAAAACATCAAAGGATCTTACTTAATCCTAGAATCACTGGTCAACTCACAGCTACGTAGCTACCTGGAGGATAATGACTGCAGCAGTCAGGCTTTAGACCTGGTAACAAATAGGTGCTGCGACTGCTGTCACTGTTGACACTTTTGAACTCTTACAGTTTGTTCAAATCAAATCTCTGGTAAAGTTTAAACTGCTGTTGCAGAAGGTTTCAAATCAAGTTCCCAGATTTTCGGTAAAGGTGTCCCTCAAGGATCAATACTAGGCCCACTGTTACTGTACAGAAAGGCCTTTTCCCAGCTGCACAGCTTGTTCTGAACTCTTGTAGCGACACAGAGCTTGTCCCTCCTTTGAAAACAAACAAAAACAACCCAACACACAGTCCAACACACTGTCATAGTTTGATTATAAAGAGATATTATCGTGTACGCTCCTGCTGCTGCCGCCGCTGGACTTACATGAATTATGCGAGAGAAGCGGTCGGTGTCATGTGTCTTCATCTATAACGTCTTGCTATCTACATTAGTTAAAACAACCTTATTAAATCTGATTATATTCATGTAGAAACATGATAAATATGTTATTACAACCGGGACTAATTTATTGTCTGGGTGATATTGAGATATGAGCTTCCTGTAAATTGATCTGTGTGTTACACTGAGAGCAACTTAAATAACTTGCATGTTTTCACACACTTGCCCAGTAAAGCTGATTCTAGTACAAGCATTTTATTTATTGGCCTTTTCTCATCATGGTATTTTACTTAATTTCTCTCAGAGTGAAGCCAAAGAAGCACCCGTACAATAAAACACAACGCAAAACAAACACACGCTCAGTTAGCTGTTGAGACAAAGAAGTCAGCCCTGATTGATTAAGCCTGTGTTAGCGTGTTTTTCTACGCTGTGAGTGTCTGGTCGAGTTCATGATGATAGACAAAAAGGTGACGGAGATAAAGTCGGACCAACGCCTCATTAAAAACAAGTGTGAACACGGTGCTAATGGGAGAAAGTAAAACGGAGTGTAAATGGAGCGTTAATGGGGAAAAGGTAGTTGAACCTTGAACGTGAAGTGCAATCTCTTACAGTCTTTATAAAACACACACACACACACACACTATGAGGGTCTAATTAGGGAGCAGGTCTGCGGTGTGTTGAGCCCGTCGTCCACACTGAGGAGCGGGAAGCAGACGAGGCGAGAGCGACCACAGGGAACCATCAAATCAATTAGCGTCCACTTCCAAAAACAATACAACAAGGAGGGAGCTCGGTGCTCTGCCTCACAGCGCTGCCTCTTCGGCTTTATTCTGCTCTGGACGGGTGTGAGGGGGGGTGTGGTGGGTCTGCCGTGTCATGCCATGCCAGGCTACGTACGTGTCTGGCTTTATTAGCATGGGCTTCATCACATGACTTAAAAAATACGCTTCCGGTGAGCAGGTTTGAGGAGATGAATACGGGAAGATAACCAACATCCTGTTCAACAATTCGTCTGGTTTTTGCCTCAAGTTTCAGATGTTTACTGGGTTACAGTAACATCTCGTGAGTAGATTAATAAATGTAGTCACTGTACAGAAACAAACAAAAATCATATATGAAGCAAACTAAAGAATTAAATGTTCTTCTATATGTTCTTAACCCACGCTGAACTCTTTGGATTATCTGAAACATTTATTGTGAAGCTGTGAACAAGGCGGTTTTCCTTAACCTGAAACAAGTGCAAGTTGATTTAAAGAGATGAAATGCAGTTTCATTCAACCTGGGCATCACATTTGTTGTGAGTTTTCAACCTCTTGAAGTGTCTTTAGCGACATTCACTCATTCATCTGACATACAGAACTTTCCAGAGTTGGTACAAGCACCACATGCGAGGCTGCTATCAGCGACCGTGTTAAAGTGTACTGGAGGCAGGATGCTTTCACTATGATGAACAGAAACAGGGCCGTGGCTTATCTGAACATGGACTAACACCAACAGACATAATAATAGAAGTGGACGTAGTGTCGCTTCCACTGTTTGACTGTAAGACTACTCACGAAGAAGAAGCATTCATGAAGCGGAAAGCGACGGAGGAAGGAACGGAGAGCTAACAGCAGAACGATGTTTTGCTATTTCGGCCCTAAATACACTTTTGAGAAGTTCTGAGGCGAGGAATCAACTGTGTAGAAGTTTTACCAAAGTTGATGGAAAATCCAAAATGTGCTGAAACGTTTTCGGGGATTAAAAGCTCCACAAGCGCCCGCGAGGCCCACAGAGCCCTCTGGTCCCAGCAGCAGCAGAGGAAAGGCCACAACTGTAAGATGGTTTCAATGTTCGTACCTAAACTTATAAGCACTTTGGAAAAACAAACTACAGAAGTAATGATGAAAAGGGGACTGTTGCTTTATTATTCTAAATAGACTTCACATTGTTAGTGTACACTTGTGGTTATAGTACTTGCTTTTAATGTGCATTTATTGTCTATAATTCCAAAGCAAAAAGCTTTATTAAACAGATTTAAAGTTAAAACGTACTTGGCAATAAAATCAGATTGTGAGCTTGTTGTTTTGGGTGAAAATAAAGCCTGGCTGTTTTCTTGGAGCAGCCTCTCCATAGTTCTTTGCATTCTTGGTTTTGAGGTCTCAGGGATGATGCCGGCTAAAAGGTAAACCTCGTTCACTTAATGGTAACGTTAGCTAGTTGGGCTGTGTGTCGGAGACCAGTAGGGAAAAAAAAAAGCTGAAAACAAAATACTTACTGTAAAAAACTTAACAGCAGACTCTTTGGAGAGTTTTTTCGTACTACTGAGCGCTAAATGAGTAATTTTCTGGACCAAAATGTTACAGGTAACATTGAAGTGAAAACACACCGTGAGAAGGTCAAAGCCCCGAGACCAAAACACCGACAGCAAAAACAAGCACACGGCTAGTAAACTGTACACAGTGCAGCGATTACGAGTCGCCTCGACTCTAGTGACTTGGTAGCCCCGCCCTAAAGCCTCCCCTGCTTTCTGGTCTATTTTCCTCTAAATGGGACCATATTTTACTAAATGAACATGATGCTGTGATGAAGAAGACCTGAAACTGAGGTAATATATCGGCTGAGAAGCAGCCTCATTTGCACACACACCTCCCCCTGCTGGTCGTTAGAAAGAATGCGAGTCTAAGTTACTTCCGCGTTGGCTTCACTTATCAGACCCGGAGGTTCACGCTTAAAACAGTGCATATTGGGAAGTCAGTGCCGATTCGCAGAACTCGCAGCGGTTCATTCTTTCAATGTTTTGAGTAAAAAGTCAGAAGGAAAGTCTGAAAATAATAACTTGAGATTTTAAATGTAATTATTAAACATATATATTTATGTTAAGTTCATGAGAAAAGGTTTGTTGATTCCACTAAATTCCTGTCTGATGTTTCACAGTGCAAGATGAGTTTCCTTGACAAATTCTAATAAATGTGAGATGAAGAGACAATTTCAAAGCAGCAGAAAATAAAGCCACATTCAAAGTAAACACACGAGCAAATAAAGAAGCAGAATAAATAAATATTCTTGTATTTGTTAATACTGAATCATAATAAAAGTTTATCAGGTCATCAGATCAGATCCGTGTCTGAAAAGTGTTCACTAACATCCTCTTCTGTCCTTAAAAATTAAATCGCATGTTTCAGGTAGGTTCGCTTCTGTCGCTCCAACCTGCACTCAAACCAAAAACCTCGACTCCGCCTGCTGGGCTCCACCGCTGCATTAACACCACAGAAGAAGAAGAAAATGGTGCGTTTGAAGCCTCCGGGAGCTGGAGGGGGATTCTCACACGGCGAGAACAGCGTTCAGCTGCAATTACCGCCCGCTCTGCTGTGACAGCACGGCGGGCTCTTTTCTTAAACGACGACCCCAAACACAAACAGCAGCAGCACATGCCTCCCCCCTCTCTCTCTCTCTCAGTCTGTCTCCATGTCTCTCGCCCGCTCTCTCCTGGCGAGGCGGCCCCTAATCAGAGATGCGATTTGTTCATTAGGAGATTACAAACGAGGCCGCGGCGACGACACGAGAGGCCGCGATTAGTGCTCGTTAATTGCCTGATTTGCTTGTCGGGAGAAACCCCCGACCCCCCACCCCACTACCCATCTGCCACCTCTCTCACCCCCTCCTCACCCGTCTCCCCTACCGCTGCTCCGACACGAGGGGAGCTTGTGTGCGACAAATTAAGAGCCAATTCAGGTGCTCTGCTCGCCATCGCAGCGGGGAGGTGTGTGTGTAGGCTGTCGAGATGTCGGCCTCTTTCCTCGCCCTCCCCTTCATCCTTCTTCTTCTTTCAGTCCTTTAAAACGCTGCTGCCAACGCGCCGATCAAAGAGCTCAGGAAGAAAAAGAACCAGAGGAAAAGAGGCGGCTTTGAAAGGGAAAAGAGAGGCATGAAGTGGACGAACAGAGGGAGGGGAGGAGGTGGTGTGAAAGAGAAAAGAGCGACGGAGGGAGTGACAGTGAAATCCCTTCCCTCTCCTTCTCCTAATGATCTGGTTGGAGGACCCTGGAGAGCCCCTTGCTCTAATTGATGTTAAGTGTGTGATTTCACTGTTAATCAAGGCCGAGGCATCAAACAGAGAGAGAGAGAGAGAGAGAGAGACAGGAAGTCTCACCTGTTTGATGGGGATGGCTCGCCCGCTGCCGATGCTGTCGGCTCGAGCCTCCAGGCCTTTCTTGTCCTTGTCCGACTCGCTCGCCTTCCTCGACTGCGGACCAGACGAGATAATAACCGTCATTATCAACACTGACACCGAGTCTGACTTCAACATCGCTGCAAAGAACCAACGTGTGGGGCTGACGCTTTAATACGAACCGTCACCTGTTCCTGCTCCAGACAACGGTTCACCTACCTGATTCATCTTGCACGTGTTAAAGGGTAACCAGTATTTTTCAATCTGGAACCTGTAATCCTTGCGGGCAATTGCACAAGTACGTCCATGGAAGTATTTGTTTTGCCGCTGACAGGCTCAGATTGATTTTACAAGTGTCAGACAACAATTAGGAAAATATCCCCACAGCGAGAGACCTTTATTTAAAGATCTTCACTATATCACCCTTGTCAAATCCACCAGACTCTATAGATAAAAACCGTAATTTTAGCTTTTCTTGTTCTTGAAAATAAAAATGGTCAAAGTTGAAATGTTAAATTAACACATGGAAGAATTGGTTTTGTGTATTACAGAGACTCATTTCTGGAAGAGAGACTCACGGTGAAGAGGTTGGAGCGGCGTTTGGACTGCTTTCGGACGGGCGTTGGCGTGTTGGTGGTCTGCGGCACGTCGATGCGGAGCTCCTTCTGGCTAGTGCTGGGCGTGGACGGCACCGACGACGAGTAGTCGCTCAAACTGCCGCCGCCGTTACTCGTCTGGAAGGACAGAAAGTTACTGATGAGTTTTAACACTTGACCCTGCGTCATACTCTCACAGCTTGCACAAGTTATTGCTGTTAGTATGAAAACATCATGAGATTCTTCCTACATGGCTTATTTGTTAGAAATGTGAATCCTTGTGGAATAAACCTCTTTGTTTGGAATCTGTCTGAATGTACGAGCTTCTGTGCCGGTTGGAGAAAGTTTTCCAGTGTTTGTGATGTGTTGGACGTCTCGTCAGTGTAACAGCAGCCTCCTGAGCGGCCGACACTCGACAGTAATCAGTGCGAGCTAAAGATGCAGCGAGGGCCGTTTTGTGGAGGCGGCGGGAAGATAAACAGGGCTCTCGGGGGACGCTGCTCAGACACGCTGAGCGATGGCTTTTTAATGAGAAATCGATGCAGGATTGAAGGATGAGGATCGAAGAGCTTAACGGCCTGAAGCTCCAGTGAGACAGGGAGGGTCTGTGTGTGCGTTTTCACCGCCACATTTCAGACGCAACCACACCGTATCCAGGTTTTTCACAGCACGCATGAGTCTGTGTGAAGATGTTTGAAGCCGCAATCACAGGTCAATGAATAAAAACACTTAAAATTGTTTTATTAAGAGTGAAAGATCTTGGCTTTAGGAGGATGAGTTAGAGCGGTTGGAGTCTGCTCACCCTGACATTCAGTTGAAAGCTCCTGAAATTGCAAGTCCATTTAGTCGCTGTTCTGGAGCTTTCGATCATATTGCATGTTTTTCATCAACACATAAAAGAATCACAGAATTGTAGATGTTCACGTTTCTGTTTTCTTCTGAGCACTTTAAGGACTTTTTTCCCCCCATGTTGGATGAGGCAGACTCCTGCTGATGAAGACCATGTGATATGACCGAAATCTCCAGAACTGCGACTCAATGGACTTTAAAAAGCAGCAGTGTTTGGTCGATCCCTCTGTGTTAAAGTCCGTAACTGAAACTTTACATTAGAGAGCTTCTGTCATTTTTAACGAATTTATAAATAAAAGCCAAAAACTTGTTTGTAACAGTTTTTAGGATCAACAAATAATAATTTAATTAATTAATTAAAAGGCACAGCACTCTTTAAATCTCAGTGTGTAAACTGACCAATGTCCTCAGCTGATTGTTTCTTTATTACAACAGTTAAATTTAATTTTACTTTAATTTTAGATCCTTTCACATAATTAATACTGCAAAGCCTTAACTATTGATTATCGACACGTGGAGGAGGTTACACATCCTGTACGTGTTGTGAAAATCTAAATATTCTTCACTGTTTTATTCAGTTGCAGTGTTTTTAAAAATCATTTAGACAAAAAAGACCCAAATAAAGACAGGATGAGGAACAAAGTGTGTCCTGTCAGATGTTTCATGAAGTACAGTAGAACTGCTGATGTGTTCGTCTGGCTGCATTAATACTACAGCAGTTTCTCTCTCTGTGACCTCTGACCTGGCTGATGTGGACGGCTGACACTTGTGTGGCGCAGACAGACGTGTGACTCGGCGAGTTGGGGAGCGACTTGCACGGCCCGATGGACAACTGCTGCTTCTTCCTGGTAGCCACGATCTTCTGGGCGACTGCAACACAAACACATGACAAAGAAACAATAGTCAAGTCAGCTTTATTTATATAGTACATTTAAAAACAACAGGTGTTGACCAAAAGTGCTTTCCAACGAACAAAAGAACGAGTATATACCACCGTGTGTCCAACTACAACGACCAGCTAATAACGACAGCAAAGTTTCAGCTTGACAGTAAAACTTTTCCTGCAGGATGTTTTACAGAAACTTTGCTGTCGTAGTCGAGGTAGTGAAATCTGAAGGGCAGGAAGACGTAAATGATTCATTTGCAGCAAAGGACGAAGCAGCAGGTACCAAAAATAAAAGTTTCTACTATCATTTAGCTGTGGATCAGTGGGTAGAGCGGGTGTCCACTACCCAGTAGGTCGGTGGTTTGATCCCTGGCTTTCCCACTCTGTCTTGTCCTCGGTGATGAGCAGTTGGCACCTCAGCCTCTATGATAAGACAATTCTTTTTCCACCTCAGCCAACACGTTTGAGACAACAGTGTTCTTCCAACTTTGTGCTGGTGTTGTTGGATGAAATATTGTGCGGACACTCATGGTGCCCAGACGAAGAATCCTACAGACGTTGCTCTCCACTACTGGACAGCGGCCCCGTGTTTGTTCTTCACAAGCCAACACTTTGGTATATGACCACATACCTGCAGAACTAACGACATTCCCATCAGCTTGTGTTTACTTTAATTAATGTTACATGCTAAACTAAGATGGTGAACATGGTTTCATTTACATTTATTCATTTAGCCGACGCTTTTATCCAAAGCGACTTACAATTGCTATATATGTCAGAGGTCGCACGCCACTGGAGCAACGAGGGGTTAAGTGTCTTGCTCAGGGTGGGTCACAGAGGGGGATTGAACCCGGGTCTCTCACACCAAAGGCATGTGTCATCACCACCCCGTGGTAAACAGTGCTAAGCATCGGCATGTTAACATTGCCATTCATTAAAACGGATGTTAGACACTTTAAGAGGTAGAACAAAATGTTAAGACTGTTAAGCAGCACAATGGCTCTCCTTCCTGTCTGGAGATGATCATATGAGTGAATCTTCAAAGTGACCTTGACAGGATGGTTTCTCAGCAGTTTGCAGCTTGTTTTTATAATTTGCATAAAACACGTCCACTTTGCAAGTAACCCAGTCCAGACTAGTATTTAAATTAGAAAAAGAACATAATGAGATTATCAGCGCAGTTCAAAAACACTTTAATGCCAAAATACGTCCAGGTTGAAGAGGCTGAATCACAAACTAATTACCGACTCAACATTTAGTGTCAACTTTTTGTCTTTCGTCTGTTTTTGTTCTAAATGGCTGCATCGGGTTCCTTCTCTCTTGTCGCTGCCCTTGGCTCGGCCCCGTGTCACCTGCAGGTAAATGTTTACGACTGGCTCGTCATTAACGAAGCCGGAGGGGGGGCTTTTAACGAGCCCAATTAAAAGAGTGGCTTCATCAGTGAGCGCGTGAAACAGGCCTGTGTTTATTGGAACAGAGATAATGGAGTCGCTGAAGTCGTAACACTCTCTCTCTCAAACACACCATCGGGCACAACAGTACTTTCTCTCCAAGCTTGGAAGCTTAATTTAATGTAATTATTAATGGGGTCTGGTGAGAGAAGACCGACTGACAGACGCCATGATGCTAGCACGGCTAAAAAGTAAAACCTGGATGTGAAGTTGGGGATCAACCAACAGGACGGAGCCTCTCACATGCATGTCAGTCCCGTACCTGGCAGGCTGTATATTACTTTAAGTGTTAAGAACAGTTATGATAAGGCTGTGCTAAATATTTAAACTGCACGGTTAATTCAATTTAACTTTATGCATCAATCTCGGTTCTGCTCTGAGAAGCTGCCATTTCTTCTAATGGAAACGTCTCCCCTTTGATCAGATTTATGACGGGGCTGCACCACCGGGTGAGGCATAAAGGGGAAGGTGGGGGGCGAGCTGACTCTGCAGTGTTTCACTTTTTTCACTTTAAAGTCAAACGCTGAAGCTGCAGACTGAGTGGTGCTGTGATATCTGAGCAACGTGCAACTAATCTCAATAATCCCGTGTTCTTCCGTTAAATCTTTATTTAAACAGGTCTCATTCAGATTAAAATGCATTTTGTTAAGAGACTTTTATACAAATCAAATTTCTGAAAGTTTGTTTGGAACAAAACTTCAGTAACAGATCTCTGATTGCTGCGTTTTGTTTTATCGCTACATGACCTTTGTTTTCACGATGTTACCTTTGGAAAACACCAAATCTAGCGCACTGCGCCTTTGGAAAACACCAAATCTAGCACACTGCGCCTTTGGAAAACACCAAATCTAGCACACTGCGCCTTTGGAAAACACCAAATCTAGCACACTGCGCCTTTGGAAAACACCAAATCTAGCACACTGCGCCTTTGGAAAACACCAAATCTAGCACACTGCGCCTTTGGAAAACACCAAATCTAGCACACTGCGCCTTTGGAAAACACCAAATCTAGCACACTGTGCCTTTGGAAAACCCCAAATCTAGCACACTGCGCCTTTGGAAAACCCCAAATCTAGCACACTGCGCCTTTGGAAAACCCCAAATCTAGCACACTGCGCCTTTGGAAAACACCAAATCTAGCACACTGCGCCTTTGGAAAACCCCAAATCTAGCACACTGCGCCTTTGGAAAACACCAAATCTAGCACACTGCGCCTTTGGAAAACACCAAATCTAGCACACTGCGCTCATCAGTACAGTGTGTCCTCCAGTGTTAGCACACAAACTTACATCACTTTGAGTTACATGCTTAATAAAAATTTTATTTTTCTCTTATTTTAGGACTGCAAAACTGTAAATTGATCTTAATACTTCTTCCGGTAACCTGCATGCATTTTGGTATTTGGATCTTAGAAGCAGCAAAATATCACACTGTAACAAATACTCTGTTACAAGCAAAAGTCCTGCGTTAAAAAAAGCACAACTAGAAAGTATCAAATTACTCAATAGGACGCATAATGCTTAAAAATGTCAATCCCAAAAAATGTTCCCCAAAGCCCAACATGACGCCCTCAAATATGTTGTTTTGTCCTAGACACTGTCTAGATGAGGAAAGAAACCAGAATATATTCACATTTAAGAAGCTGAAATCAGAGAATTTTGACTTTTTTCCTTAAAAATTCCTTAAACTGATTAATTGATTATCAAATAATCAATTAATCGACTAATTGTTGCAGCTCTACTCTTCAACGCAGGGTTCAGATCAGATCCACTTTGCTTTACATGGTAATGTTAAATAAAAACTGTAGCTTTGTCTCCTTTATAAAATAACAGGACGCCCGGTGCGCTACAAGACTCTAAATAAATCAAAATACTTCTTCTAGTAACCTGCGTGCTTTTCAGTATTTAGATATTTTATAGAAGTGAAAGCAGCAAAATAATACACCGTAAAAATACTATGTTACAAGCAAAAGTCCTGCGTTAAAATAAAGTACAACAGAATTAGCAGTATCAAAAGTACTCATTAGGAAGCAGAATGGCTCTACATCATATGCCATCTGATAAAATATCAGCTAATCGAATAAAAATATAAATGTAAAATATTATCCGGTTATTATTACTATAATGTTGTGCCCAGTCTTGGTGGAGCAACATGTAACTGCTGTACTTTATATACGTTATAAGCTGGTTGTGCAACAACATCTCACTTTGTTTTCTGGGTAAAATCTGAACTTGAAAGGTAACTAAAGCTGTCAGATAAAGACAGTGAAGTGAAGAAGAAATGTAAAGTGGCTTAAAATAGAAAAATACATACAGCAACATAGCACTTGCTCGTAAATGTACTGCTGCGTTTCTGCTGCGTGTCAGGTGTCGACTGTGTGCGCGTGAAGATGTTTCTTCTGTTTATTAGTGTTTTATAGATTGTGATTTAATGTATTCGTGTTTCACATTTGCTGCTGTGTATTTCTTTACACGCTGGATGTGATTTTAAGTGTATGAACATTTCTGAGTGACTGTGTGTGTGTGTGTGTGTGAGTGTGTGGTCATCTCAGCTCGTTAGCGTGCGCTAACGAAGCGGCCTGCATCTGCACCGTGACATGGATTAGAAAGAAGAAGAGCAGAGTGTGTGTGTGTGTGTGTTGGAGGGGTTCATGTCGGTGTAATTAGGCTAATTAAATTAGCGCGCTGATGGACGAGGGAGCACAGCGCTGTCACCCTCCCTCCTCCTCCTCCTCGTGCCTCCATCCCTCACACAGAGGTCACTCCCCCCGACTGGACCAGGCTTCACTTCCCATTACAGTAAATTACATGTTACACACAGCCTTAAACAAAGAAAATGGGTGAAATAGAAAAAGATAGAAACACATTCAACCTCCTGATTTTCCTCAGCTTGTCTCCATTGTTTGCTTTTCATGAGGTTGATGTTGTTGCTGATGTGTATTCGGGGGTTCTGGGTCACATGATTAAGCTTTTGGTCTCACATTGTTTTTTTATTACCATAAATAGAAATTTTTTGGGAGGACATGTTGAGCATTTAAAAAACTCTACTACATCAGCAAATTACAGTAGAGCTGAATCGATTTGGCAATTAAGTGATTAGCAGAACAACTGAAAATTAATCTACAACAATTCTGACGCTTTAATTGATGTTTCATGTGTTTTACTTAAGTTAAAATAGGATAAAATCAACTAGTTTCAGCCTCTTAAATGTGAATATTGTCTGTTTTTTTAGTGCTTTAAGCCACATTGATTATTTTCTAACATTAAATGTATTATACAGACCAAATGATTCATTTATTAATCTTGAAAATAATCATCAGATTGCACGATAATGACTGAATATCAGCCCTACAGTATGTTTTGTACCCTTGAAGACGGAAAGGTCCGGGTTTTATGCTGCAGAGTGACGGTGATGATCAGTCAGGTGAAGTACGGCTCAGCTTTTACTCAAAATGTGGATCTAAACGCGAATTTTATTTACGGTTGCCGAGTATTTTAAACAGAAGGAACGACAGGACAAACACACACAGGCTC